TCACAAAGGACTTCATCTTGATATTTTCCAATTGAAAATGGAATGAAAATTTGCTTTGTGATCCTTACTTCTCCATCGTCATTTAACCATTGAAGTTTATATGGATTTGGATGCTTGGAAGTTTTCAGACCAAGTTTTTCCACCATAAGAGTGCTTGCAACGTTCGTACAACTTCCTCCATCGATGATCATAAAACAAACTTTGTTATTTACATGACAACGAGTATGGAATATTTTTTCTCTTTGATCATCCTCTATGATTTGAGTGCTTAAAGCCTTTTTAATGAAAAGAACTTGTCTTGAAGCTGTATAAAAATCAATCAATTCTTGTGACATGGTTAGTGAAATAAAAAAAATGAAACCTTACCAGCACACCACTAAAACCTCACTTGATCACTCTAAAGAAAATTTCAGATTGCACTCCACTCACACTCGTGTTTGCACTAAGGGATATATTCTTGGCTTTTTCTTGATCCCCCTTCCGATCTCACCCTCTCGTATGCCTTTTTTCGCTCGATTCTCTCTTGTGGGTTCTTTTTAAGAACTAACTCAAGATTGAGCAAGTCTCTTTAGTTGGTGCGTTGACTTAAAAGAAATGGTTAGGTATAGAAATGGTTATGGTAGAGGTATAATAGAAAAGGTTAAGAAAATGATAAGGTAATGGAGTAAGAATAGATGAAAGAATAAGGAAATGAAATAGTAAGAAAGTGAAGATAACTCACAACTCAAGTTGCAACACTTACTATCTTCCTTCACAAGAAACAACAAGGATATCTCCTTCTAGTTTATTGTTAGGCATATTGTTTTGTGCTTCTCTTTGAGTGTACTTTACAACTTTCTTCACTTTTCTTTTTCTTTGAATTTTTTTTCTTCTTTTTCTTTTCTTTCTTTTGCACTCCAAATTTGTTGTATGAGTCTTTTCTTTTCTTTTTGTTTTTTCTTCTTTCTTGTTTCTTTTTGTTGTAGCACTTGATTGTCAATCCAACAAAGCTCTGATTATCGCTTGATGTAAGGCTAACTAGTCTTCTTCAATAATGGAGAAGTTGGCAACCTTGTTATTTCCCGATCTAGGAGAGACACCAAATTCTACACTTTGAATTGATAAGTATTCTGAAAAAATTAAAAGAATGAAATGATTAAAATGGAAATATGGAAGAAGAAAGGAAATGATAAGAAAAGAAATGGAAAGAAATGATATCAAAGTAGGCTGCGGAAGTGTTGAATAAATATCCTTCAAGTGTTGATGAATTTGACCTTCAATGGTGAAATGGACGTATGCCTTGTTGATGAATGAATGATGATTTAATGGTGAATAGATGGTAAGGGAATGGTGATGATATAGGCGTGAAATGGTGATAGAAGATGGTGATGATATAGGCATGCAATGGTGATGGAAGATGGTGATGTTATAGGCGTGAAAATGGTGATGGAAGATGGTGATGAACAGATAGAATCTTATAAAACTAACAAGGAACCAATGCTATAAAGGAGCAAAGACCCGTTTCTTATAAGTTCTATAAGGGATGGTAGTAAGGACTTTGACCCACTAGTTATAAGAACTAGGAACCACAAGTATCAAGGGGAAGGAATGACGCCACAAACTTAGAATAAGCTTACTTAATCGATATAGTTCTAAAAAGAACGTGAAGAGAGAATAATCTCACAAGGATTTATTTTATCAAAGGGTTTTCTTACAATGTAAATAGCCTAGCCTATTTATAGTTTTCAAAGGGTTTATGCCGACTAAACACTTGATGGTTCGGCCAAGGTTGAAACCCCTTTGAAAATACATGATTTTTGATGAAAATATATGATTTAAATAAAGATACATGCTCTTGGTCGAATGGTTATGTATTGGTTCGGCCCTAAGGATGATTTGAATGCATTTGGAAGTTATTTAGGCGCCAAAATGAAGAGAAAAGAGTCTTTGGCCGAATAGAAAGCATCCCTTGGTGTTTTGGCACCAATTTGATGTCACATGGAGTGCACATGCTTGAATGATGCACATGGCAGCCTTCTTGAATGCACATGGGTCTTCTTGCAATGCTTTAGTGAGGTTGCAACCATAGGATGATGTCTTGAAGTCCATGGAATGGAGATAGGCAGCACACTAGGCGTGACTTAGCTTCTAACATGCATCTACGTGTCATGGTCTTCAATGGGCAGCAACTTGTCATGAAAGGTCACATGTGTAGAAGGTAATTGTTCATCATTTGAGCTACTTTCCATGTGTTTGAGCTAAAGATGAGCTGGCCATTGATGAATTATATGAAGATGAGTCTTTGGTCAGCTCCTTGTGACAAGGTACCTCTTGGAATGGCAACTCTTCGCGAAAAGGTACGAATCCACAAAAATTGACCTAGACCATATTTGTAGTGCTCTGTGTGGTGGTGGTGATGGTGCAACTCTCCAGCTGAAATGAGGTCTCTAGCTAGCCAAAAAACCCAGCTCAAGTCAGCTATGAGCTCGAGGGTCAGCTGACAACTTTTCACCATTTGTTCTTCATGATCTCCTGAGTCATCCTATGTAAGTTTTCCTAGCTCTTTATCCTTAGTTAAGCTCAAATTTAGCTCCCATCATGTGGCCGAATATGCACCTACAAAAGAAAGCATAATATAAGCTAAGTATTTAAAGTAAATAACTTATAATATAAAGATGTGGACTATATGTTATAATAATAACTCATGCATGATATGATAATGAATGAATATTATTATTATAACTATAGATTATATGCTTGAATATCAATCAATGATGCAAACCATATAATGAATGAATGCACCTGTTATGATAATTCAGGTATAGTCTAATCTGTAAATGTATGCTTATAATAATACATAGTGCATAAATAAGTAAATATAAGATAAAGTAAGGTAGAACTCCCTTAGAACCAGATTTGAATAACATTCATGGTGTGATCAAGTCATGGAGAAAATTGGAGCTAGACAGGATCACATCATCTTTTATCTTCTCATATTCCTTTCTCACCTTAACAAACCCTCTTAAAACCCATCTCAGCCATACTTATATCCCCCTACTCCTCAACCTCAACAAACCAACCGGTTTGACCTTGATTATAATCTTCTTGTTGCTATTATCCTTGATGTAGTTATCATGGTTATTGTTTTTGCAAATTAGGTGTGGGATTAAAGTTGTGGTTATATTTAATAATGAGGTAAAATTAGGATTTTGTTAGATATTGATGGGACGATGGGGTAAAAATAGGGGTGAAGAGGCTTAATGACGATGGCCGGAAAGGATAACCCATCTTAGCCACACTTATCCCCCTACTCCCCATTGTTGTTTTCTCTGGTTTTCTTGTTTATTTTCTCATTCCCCATATCTTCAAAAGAGTGGCATCGACTCTTTTTTTATCTTCACTCATCTTCTCCAACTTTTTTTTCTTAATTCCAAACTAAAAAAAAAAGAGGTGACAATGGTTGTGAGCATAGATTAAGGTGGGTGGTTGAATGAGAGAGAATAAAAAAATGGGTTTAGAGGAGAAAAGAAGAGGGGAAAGAGAAAGGAAAGAGAAAAACTTAAAAAATAATTTACTTTTGACTATTTTTTATGATATAGAATTTAATGGTTAAAAAATTATTTAATTTATTCATGTTGTAATGTCGTTAAATATCTAAAATTCAGTAAATAAATTTAAAAATGAAATTGAAGAGAGAATAAAATTTAATAAATAGACATGTAATTTACATTTTTTAAATAAAACCAATACAATCAAATTAGATTGATTTGAAGTCGTCGACTCCAGATCAAATGACTATACCTAAGTGAGAGTGCACGACTTCATCCATATGAAGACTAAAGTCAACTCTTGTCCGAGCAGCGGCCACGCATTGGTTCTAAACTCTTACCTCTTAGGGGCCGTTTGGATGGGGGAATCTGGGATTTCTCTGGGAATGGAGTCTACATTCTTCCGTTTGGTTTGGTCGGGAATGTCATTCCAGTGATATTTTATTATCAATAATGAATTTTTGGGGTATATTACCGGGAATGTCATTACCTCTCTTCCCTTAGGTATTGTAATTACCGGCGTTTTGGACTAAAATGCCCTTAATTTTTTTTCAAAAATATATCCTTCTTCTGTCATTGAATAATAAAAATTTCATGAAAGTTAACTTATAAATTTATCCTTAAACTATTTTAGATTTACAAAAAAAAATATCTATAATTAAAATTTTATATGAAGTTCATGGGTTAAAATAAAATTTTACCCTTCTATTAAATATTTTTTATATTTTTAATTTTGTAAAAAAAAAATTATATAAATTTTATGAATTTAAATTTTTTAAAGAAAATATATAAATATTTTTCAACTTGTAATATTATACAAATAGGGACAATTTTGTTAAATATACATTCTAATAATCTTTTATTTCTTTAATCAAACACGGTAATCTTACATTCCTGCTAAACTAACCAAACACAAAATATAACATTCTCAGTAATCCTATTCCCTGGTAATCTTACTTTCTCACTGGTAATCTTACATTCCGTAAACCAAACGTATTTTTAAAGTTTCACCCTACACTCCCTCCCTCGCACTCAATTATCACCGCCTCTTCCGCTCGGAATTCTGAACAGCTTGTGGCTCGGTCCACGTGCCTTTTTTTTATTCGTCTTAAGTAATCTGAAAAACTTCCTCTTTTTTTATACTTTCGCACAACTACTACACCTTCGACCCCAAAGAAAGAAAGCAGAAAAAAGAAAATCCCCTTGTAACCGATGCATTCTAAAAAGAATATAAAAAAAATTAATTAATCAAAAATTCAAAAGCCTTCGGACCCATTCATCAATCCCTGTAATTGTATGGAACAAATAAAAGCCGTTCGATAAAACCGGAGTCAGCTATCCCTAGCCGTTGGATTATAGCTTCTACCCATTGGCTATTGTTGTTCTTTCTCTCCTTCGACCCCAAAGCTGTTCCTTTTAAATCCCAAAGCGCTCACAAAAAACCTTAAAAAAACAACAGTTTAAGTGTTGTACTTTTGTTTTTTCCCCCCAGGAAAAAGAAAAAAAGAAAAAAGTTTAGTAAACTTGGAATGGCGAGTGAAGAAATTAAACATACTCGAGGCCTTCATGCTTCTCAACAAGCTTCTCTTCCAGACCACCCTCAGGTAGTTTGCATTTCTATGTTCTTAGTTTCGGCTTTTTTCGTCACTGTGGTTTTGTTTGAGCTTATTCCTTTTTTTTCTGTTTTTTTTCCTTTTTTTTACTGAGAAGATGATCATGGAAGCCATAGAAGCTTTGAACGAGGAGGGGTCGAGCATGACGTCAATCTCGAAACACATCGAGTCGACTCACTCGGATCTCCCGGAGAATCACTCCAGTCTTCTTTCCCACCACCTGAACTTGATGAAACAGAGCGGCGAAATCGTAATGTCGAACAACAATTACATGAAACCCAACCCCAAAGCCCCACCCAAGCGTGGACGTGGACGTCCCCCGAAACCCAAGGTCCCTGTAACGCCCGGGAAAGTAGTGTCGCCACCAAGGCCACGTGGTCGTCCACCGAAGCCCAAGGATTTATCAGCTCCTCCTAAGTCCAAAACTACCGTCAGCACTGGTAGGCCACGTGGACGTCCACCTAAGAAGCCTAAGACTGGCGTCTCGACCGTAACTGCTGTTCCACCACCTCCAGGCGTTAAGCGAGGCCGCGGTCGACCGCCGAAAGTGCAACCGTCGGTGGGTATTCAGTAAAGTTGAGTGGTATCGTCTCGTCACTGCTCCTCCACTCCCGGCTTTAGATAGGCTTTATTTTTTTTAACTAAAATTTTTAGGTGCTGTTTAGTTGGTCTACCAATTGACGTTTTTTAGGCTTTTGTTTTTGAAAGTTAATTTGTAGTTGAAGTTGTGTATTGTGTTTATTGGAGGGTTTAGATTTTAGTGCGACTCTATAATTTGGTTAATCATGTTAAAAATCTTTTTCTTACACATTCATCACTTTTCCTTTTGTTCTTTATGTTTAGGGTAAATTTGTTTTATTTTTATAAATGTATAGTAATGGTAAAGTATAGTAATGGCAATTGAATTTTTTTTAAAGGTTTCATTTGGGTCCTCTAACTTTAAAACTTGTAATACAATTATCTAATATTTAGTCTGTTTGCAATATAGTCTTCAATTGTTACAATGTCATTAGTACGTTTGCAATATGTCAGACACTTGTATTTAGGTTCCTCAACTTTTAAAACTTGTAACACATTTTTTAATTTTATTCTAAATCTCAAATTCCTTTTTGATCTTGAATTTCAATTTTTGGTTTATCTCTTCTCATTTTCAACGTAACTTTTTAGCCGGAATGCATGGGAAATTCTAATCTAACTTTGAATTATGTGGAGGTGTTGACTTGAATAAGGGTGCATTGAGAGAAGATTCGACCAAGGGACTATCGGGACCATCAACGATTTAATGTGTAATGTTAGATACATGTCATCTTAAGTGAAGCATAGATGTTCGATAAAATGCTTGCGAAAAAAAAATGGGGTTAGAAATGCAGAGTTGACAAATACTACTAAGATGAACTAAATATCATTGTTGAAAGTCACACACAAAGTTGGAATTATTTTGTATAAATGGTATATAATAATTTATTTGTTTAATCCTTATGGTTAAAGATTTTCCAACATATGATCAAATATAATGAAATCACAAACAGCGCATTCACTTCTCAGTCTCTTTCGCTCACATGCACTCTCGTTTGGTTTTTGTTATTCAATTTTCTGCCATGTAAAATTTTAAACTCAAGCAGTGCTCTGTCTTTCAACTTTTTATTTACAAAGAAAAAATGGAGGAAGAATTGCTGGAACGCAACACCAATTGCGTTTATTTCTTATCATATCCTCTCACTTGCAAGAAGATATTTATTTTCTCATTTGGGCTATTCGGAAGTAAGTTTTTCCTCTTTTGCACTTTTCCATTTTCAGCTCGCATTGTATGTTTTTTTGTTGAATTTTTTATGTTTCTGGAACTGCATGTCAAGGATCTGGATATTCAGTGTTAGTTTTGAACCAAACCATCTAATTTTCTTTCCTTCTTCTTAATCAAAACATTTAGTACTCCTTATGAAAGATATTTAGTTCATCAGAATAAAAGTGAAAGAGGGTCACATGCTAAATTTTTTTGATCTTCTTGTTTGGTTTTTCTTTAAATCAGGGAATTGGTTGTGAGTATCGACATAGTGAAATCGCCAAGCTCAATCCGAGAGATTGCTGGTACTAGTTTACTGGGAATTGTATTGATCTGACCTGTGGTTTTCGGCGTCCTGTGAGCTCGTAGTCTTTTTAATAAGTTCATGTTGATTATGGGATTTATATATCGTGAACGAATTGGATTTTTTTACATGTTTTGGAAATTTTACAGTTGAATCTGTATTGAATTATAGCTTTAGAAGACAATTCTTCATGCACGTAACTCGAAAGACGTCATGACAGGGTAGTATATTTAGAACAGCTACTTGATATGTTGTCCGATCATTGCACATTTGCACCTTATTTCTGGCATATATATGTTTGTTGCAGTGTCCTCTATGTTTTACAATGTCTTTTATTGCTGACATGCCATGAATTTACAAGAATTATGAGGTCCTACGATTTTAGTTCACTATCTGCTTTATATTCTCATCATGTTTGGCTATTGAGGAACATTAAACATGGAGCATTAGAGCAATTATATGTTAAAATTATAGGCCATTAATGCATTTGCAACTGGTAATGTTGTATTTTGCATCTAATGTCTATCTTAAACAACCCATTTGACGCCTTAGCTTTTGGAGTGACTATGACCGAATCTTTTTCCCTTTATTTATTAAGTCCTCCTTTTGAATGAGTTATTAATTGATATTCTTGGTTTATTTTAGTTATTGCTTGGTTGTATGTTGAAGTCCTATGAATTAAAACTTTTTACTATTTTCGCAGTCGTTGGATGTGCATGCTCAAGTTCCATCCAAACCTATTGATTGTCATACCAAAGTGCGGCAGCTACGAACAAGACAAATAAACCTTGTTACTTTTACTTCAACGATTTATGTAATAAACGTGATAGATGCACTTTTAATGATCAAAGTACAGCAGCTGCTGGATGTGCATGTAACAAACCTCAAATTTATATTGAAGTAAACAATATCAAATAGTAAATTCATGTTCAAAATTCCAAAACACTTCAATTACATTCTAAACCCTAAATTCTAAAATACTTTAATTGTATTCTAACCCTAAATTAAAGTATTTTAAATTTTGGGGTTTAAAATATAATCAAATTATTTTGAAATTTGAGGTTTAGAATGAAATTGAGGTATGTGTTGCAAGCTTTAAAAGTTGGGGGATCTAAATGCAAGCGCTTGAAAAGTTCTGTGACCATATTGCAAACGGACTAAATGTTGGAGGACTGTATTACGAGTTTTAAAAGTTGAGAGACCTAAATGAAAGCTTTAAAAAAATTCAGTAATCATTATTATACTTTATCCTAAAAAATAAGTTATAATCATTTTCGTTTTATTTTAATTAAGATGAGATAATTTATCCTTGTTAAAAGTTATTTGATGACATGACATATTAATATAGTGACATAATTTTTGTTTTAACCCTTGATTTTAGTTAAAATTTAATTATAGATTTTTTTTTTGTAAATCTAAAACTGTTTAGGAACAAGTTTACAATTTACCATTTCTTTATTATGTTTTTCTTCACAATATCTCCTCCTCCAGCTATGGCAGTTGGGGAAAGTATGGACTAGAGGATCACCGTGCTGTGCATTCAGATGAATAGCACCAGCCATAGCCCAACCCTCAAAGCTTTACACTTATCAACCAACACTGCCATTCATCTCATTTTCATTATTGGCTTAGCAAGCCAACACTACCAGTAATCTCATTTTCACCATTGGCTTAGCAAACCAAACCGACAATCTCCTCAATGACAAATAATTACCGGAACTTACATTCTCCGAAACCAATGGAATCGGATTCATTGACTGATCCTCTAGCACAGCCAATAATTTATAATACTCGGATTAGGCAAGAAAACAGAAGAATCCATCTCATTGACAACATTTTTTTCCTGGTCCTCGGGTATGATTTTAAGCAAATAAAAAACGGCCCATTTGTTATTAACGCTGCCCGGACCATTTTTGGAAGCGAACTTGGTATAGAGATCAACGAAAGTAAGGGCGTCGGAAGAGTTACCATGAGTGGCGAGACGACGCTTGATGGATTCGGCGACGGCGTCGGCATCGGGGGGAAATGAAAAGGGTTAAACGGCTGGATAGAATGGGAAAGCGTAGGGAAATGAAAAGGGTTAAATGAGGAAAGTTAGGCGTTGGGTCTTCGGGGTTTGTTGAGAGAGTAAGCAGCGAACAATTTCAATTACTAGATATGTTAGCCATTGCTTTCCCCAACTACCCTAGGAGTAGGGATGGCAAACGGGTACAGTTTCGTGGATTTCGCACCGCATCCGCTCCAATTGGGGCGGGGATGGGTATAATTTTAGCGAGTAGTGGGCGGGTGTGAATTTAGAAAGTGGTACCCGTCACGGGTGGTGGGCGGGTAATGGGTTTGAGACATTACCCGGCCCGCATCCGCCTCGCATCCGCCCGCCCCGCATCCGCTCGCCCCACATCCGCCCACCTAGCTAAATATCCATTAAATTTTGGACCATTATGAATTTAGGTGTAATTTTAGAGACTAATTTATAAATTCTAATATTGTATAAGATATAACATGTAATTTATCTAACTCTCCAACAAATAGCAAAAGATATTTTGGGCATTCCTGTCTCCACTGTCCCATCAAAATCTGCATTCAGTATAGGTGGAAGAGTAATTTGTCCTTATTGTAGTCGACTACTTCCGGAGACGATTGAAGCATTAATGTATGCTCAAAATTGGCTTTGGGCCGATATTAAAGGTAATATTATTATTTAGTTTATATTAGTTGTCAAATTGTGCTTAATTATCTTATTAAAGTTTAGTTACTAACTTATATTAGTTTTACTTTCTATTATATATGTAGGTAGTAGTGAATTTAAATTGGAGCGCTCTCAGTTGGAGGAAATAGAGAATGATGATTGTAATACTGGAGTATTATATGTCACAAATATTGCCTGAAATTTTAGAATGTTGTGCCAAAGAACAAAAACATTATGTGTTTGTCATTTATGTTTCTAGACTTTAATTATGTCCTTTATTATGGTGTTTTGTGTATTTTAAGATCTATATTAACACTTAACTTTGATAATCCTTGGATTATTTTATTATGTTTCTTAATGGACATGTTTGTTTTATGTTTGTTGCTTATGTATAACTTAAGTTTGCTGTCAGGCGGGTCTAGACGGGTACGTCGCTAGTGGGTAGTGGGTGTGGGGATGGATTTGAGAATGTACCCGCGTGGGCGGGTGTGGATTTGAAAATTTGTACCCATCATGGGTGGTAGGCGGGTGGTGGATTGAAAAATATTAGGTGGGTATGGGGATGGGGGAGGGGGTATCCGCACCCGACCCGCCCGTTTGCCATCCCTACCTAGGAGGAGGAGATTTAGGAGTATGGGGAAATTTAGAAGAAAAGCGTATTAAAGAAATGGTAAACTGTAAACTTGTCCCTAAACTGCTTTATATTTACAAAAAAGTTCATAATTAAATTTTTATTTAAATTTCAATGGTTAAAACAAAAATTATATCATTTTATTATCGTGTCACATCATCAAATCGTTAAATTTTTAATGATCA